GATCAACGACTTATAGTGGGACTGCAGCGGGCATTCTGACACTGGGGGGAACTGATCAAAGGGTTAACTGTGTGCTGTTTCACAGTATGCTGTCTGTGTTTTGCACTGTAAGCACACTGCAGAGCCATACAAAGCAGTGTGCAGGAGCTGACAGGGGAGAGATCTGTGTTGTTTATACACATATCTTTCCCCCGTTGAGATACTCAGCGATCACCGGAACCCGGTGATTGACGGCCGAGGCCATGAATGGAGGTGCACGTAGGGAGTGTGCGCGGCTAGTGCTCGCCCCCTATCAGGAAATGCAAAATCACGTATTTATACATGATTGTGTGCACCCCTACCGCCCTGTAGCAGTATTTCTGCTATAGGGCAGAGGGGGAAGCGGTTAAGTTAAAAATTTTGTTTAGTTACATTTGATATGTTAGAATAATTCTTTTTCAGAATTTGTTTTGTTTTCGTTTTGAATTTTTTGTCCGCATTCGAATCATATTTCATTTGAGTCAAATCAAATATCCAAAAATTAGTTAGGTACTACTTGTTTATAGACTGTTTTAATATTTGTGATTTTATTAGATAAAAATACGTTTTTACAACTTAAAAGCCTCCCTTATGGGCCCAAGAGAATATGTTACTTGAAATTATGGGTAAATTAATATCATTACATATCAACATGTGCTGGACGACCCCAAACACATTAATGCTATTCATGAAATACCACTAAATTCTTCTATAGGAAATTATGGTGGCAACTTTATGCATTGTATAAAATTGTAATTACTATTACTAACATGAAACTCATGTGATCAAAGATACTATTTTTTTTGCATACCTTAAGACACACATGCATAACAATTACGTTGAGTAAAGTTATTACAAACATGTTATGCCTGCACTTGTGCACACCATCCACTGCCACCACAATAGGATTGGGGAGCATTACAATGAGTCTACTATACATATACTATGCCATTTAAGAAGATTCAAGGAGTTAAATACTGGTAATGGTAATGGATTGGATATGTACTGTACAATAGATTCCTACTTTATATGTGGTACAATATATGCACATAGATCCGATCCACTGCATTTGAAAGCAGCTTGCCTTCTCACCATCAAGTAATGTAATCTATGAAAATAAAGGTGGCAGTTTTATTATGTAAGTTAGTGCAAGAGCCAAATCATTACACTCACTTTTTAGTAGAGATAGATAAGTGGAAGGTTATTTCAAGTTAGTTAATATGAATAAGAATAACTTTAATTTGTATATCATAACTGGTTCTTGCCACGTGCAGTTGTATGCTCCCAACAGCAGAATTTTTTTGGTGATTATACAAAAGCTGAGATAGCCCTGCCAGTTAACATTGTCCCCTCCTCTGTGGCCAAAAGGGAACAAAACTTTTTCGGTGGAGTTGAAAATGTCACATTTGGTCCAAATTTGCAAAATGTGGGCCTAACTGTGTATGACCATATCTATGGAATGGTAAGTCTACCTTGTAACAGATTTGGCAATCACTAATGGGGCTTCCATACTATATGATAATTAGAGGGAAAATTCCCTATTCATAATGATCATAATATTTTCAAGGGCCGGTTCAGACCTTCGAAAAGAAATGACTGAAAGCGCAAATGGCATAATTCGTTACTGAAAAGAACTTATGATTTTCGATGTAATGTGTACTGGTTTCGTACAATAAAACATCACAAGAGAAATATGCGCATCTGCCATGCTCGCAAAAAAAACTACAACCCAGAAGAACATGTAGCCATTCGTAATCATGAAGTAAATATCACAGGCATTATTTAATAATAAAATAATAATGTATAAAATCATATGTATAGGCAATTATGTATGACACAATATCCATTTATTCATTGTGATAAGAGCTGTGGCAGCAACATGTTTAGTCCTCCTTTTTTCTGTCGTCCCACGGAGCAGTATGGAACATGAAATACGTCCTATCCTATTTTGACCATTCACACTCTTTGTAAGTAGCACCCCGACCACAGTATTTTTATTTTTGACCATGCTGTGGTTGATTTTGATGGTCTAGTTTGATTCATAAGAGTTTGCTGTACCTACTATGTTACGTATTGCCACTGTTTGTTAATCTCGAACTGTGTCTACACTTTCATTGCTTTGCAAGTTCTACCTTCATTTGCCATAACAGTTTCTATGGTTGTACTGTTCTCTATTTGTACTTCCAGAAAAAAAGCCGGACAAGGATGGGTTAGGAATGGAACTGGCCCAGCAATGGTGGGACTCACCTGCCTTTTGATACTGCATACCAGGCTGGCCAGCGGGTCGCTCCCAGCAATCAGAGAAAGACTCAACCTTTTCAGCCAGCTAACAACCTGGAACTGATGATACTGGTGTATTTAAGGGATGGCCAGACTTGCAGACTCTGCCTTGGTGTTGTGTTTGTCCTGGGCCCTGTATCTGTCCTGCATCCTGTTTCTGTTCCTTTGCTGACTTCTCCTGCTCTGATCCTGGCTTGTGACCCTGGACCATCCCTCTGTCTGACCCTCTGTACTACGCTGCTTGCTACCTGTTCTGATCCCTGGCTTGTGACCCGACCATCCCTCTGCCTGACCCTCTGTACTAACGCTGCTTGCTACCTGCTGAACCCTGGCCATGTGACCCCGACCATTCTCTGCTTGCTCCCCCTGTACCTACCTGCCCAATTGATATTGACCCGGGGGCCTGACTGACGACGCTTGCTTGTATGTACTGTTATCTGTGGTTGGTTGGGGTTTTGTTTGCACTGTATTATGTTTTGTATTGCACTGCGTTTATGTTTGTATGGTTAGTGTTAATAAATTTTGTATTGTTTATCACATATCTGCAATCTGCGTTTCCCTGCATCAGTCACAACACCTCTGGTCATACCTGGGAGCCCTGACATTACACCAAGGCCAATCCTGACCAGAAGTGGCTGCACAGGGAAGCCATCTTGGCTTGTTGATGGGAAGGATGGATCTGGATGAAGGTTGTGTATTTATCTCTGCTAGTGTTTGATGACAGGGAGTATGCTTATCAAACTCTGAAGGAGTATACCCGGGATGAACTGCTAGAATGTAATACGGGCTCGCTCCATGTTCTAGTAGATCAGGGCACAGAGTTCTCTGAGGTGCAGCCTTTGGATTGAGGTTTGTGCAGAGTTGGTATGGTTTCATCTGGTACCCCCGAATGCAGGGATGAATTTTTGCCACCATTTATTGCAGACCAGGTAGAGTCCCCTGGTGTGGTTTATTTAGAGGATGATGTGGGTTACTTTCTGGAGCGTTATTTCCACATGGTTCACCCACAGACACTAAGAGATTGTATAACCACGCATTGCAGTCATTACCAGACAGGCTTTGTGTAAGCTGAGCTTTGTTCAACCCAAACTGCAGACATGGAACGAGACTTTGTTGCACCCAGCCTCAGTCAGCTTACAAAAACCCAGTCCCTGCTTCTAACTCTACTCCTGTATTCCCAAACCAGCTCCTCCAGTTACAGCCCAGTATACTTGGCTATCTACCCGCATGTTTTTCAGTACCCTGTTTACCCACTCGCTGCACCTTATAATTCCCCCATGCCTTTAACCTGTAAAAAAGCCCTCTGTAGCAACTGTTCCCTCTCCTAGTTCCATCCTCCAGTTCTTCTCTGTCTCCAGCTGCTCCATTCGTTTGCAGACCTGGCGTTTTTTCTTGCAGTGCTCCATTAGTTAAAACCAGAAAAAGCGAAAATTCCTTTCCAACCAATACCATCCTGCCAGTATCCAAACGGTGAACCGTGCCTTCCGTGACTCAGCCTGAAGCCTATACTCGGCCTGAATCCTCTACTCAGCCTGAAGCCTCTACTCAGCCTGATGCCTCTACTCAGCCTGATGCCTCTACTCGGCCTGATGCCACTTACTCGTCCTGAATGCCTCTACTCGGCCGTGATGCCTGTACGCAGCCTGATGCCTCTCTTAGCCTGATGCCCCGGTACGCAGCCTGATGCTCTCTTCGGCCTGTATGCCTCTCTTTTCGGCTGATACCTCTCTTCGGCCTGAATGCCTCTCTTCGGGCCTGATGCCTCTACTCGGCCTGAAGCCTCTACTTGTGTAAGCTGAGCTTTGTTCAACCCATACTGCAGACATGGACAGACTTGTTGCACCCAGCCTCAGTCAGCTTACAAAACCCAGTCCTGCTTCTAACTCTACTCCTGTATTCCCAACAGCTCCTCCAGTTACAGCCAGTATACTTGGCTATCTACCGCATGTGTCAGTACCCTGTTCCCACTCGCTCGCACCTATCCTGCCTTTAACCCTGTAAAAAAGCCCTCTGTAGCAACTGTTTCCCTCTCCTGTACCATCCTCCAGTTCTTCTCTGTCTCCAGCTGCTCCATTCGTTTGCAGACCTGCGTTTACTTGCAGTGCTCCAGTAGTTTAAAACCAGAAAAAGCGAAAATTCTTTCCAACCAATACCATCCTGCCAGTATCCAAACCGGTGAACCTGCCTTCCGTGGACTCAGCCTGAATCCTCTACTCGGCCTAAGCCTCTACTCAGACCTGATGCCTCTACTCAGCCTGATGCCTCTACTCAGCCTGAAGCCTCTACTCAGCCTGATGCCTCTACTCAGCCTGATGCCTCTACTCAGCCTGATTGCTCTACTCAGCCTGATGCCTGTACTCGGCCTGATAGCCTGCCTGTACGCAGCCTGATGCCTCTCTTCAGCCTGATGCCGGTACGCAGCCTGATGCCTCTCTTCGGCCTGATGCCTCTCTTCGGCCTGAATGCCTCTCTTCGGCCTGATGCCTCTACTCGGCCTTATGAAGCCTCTACTCGGCCTGATGCCTCTACTCGTCCTGATGCCTCCTACTCGGCCTGAAGCCTCTACACGAAGCCTGAATGAATGCCTCTACTCGGCCTGAAGCCTCTACTCGGCCTGATGCCTCTACTCGGCCTGATGCCTCTACTCGGCCTGAAGCCTCTACTCGGCCTGAGTCCTCTACTCAGCCGGACGCCGGCATTCAGCCTGATGCTCTACCCAGCATGATGAACTGATCCAGCCTGACGATCCTATTAGGCCAGTTGACTCGATGCCCCTGCTGTTGATCCAAATGATCCGTACCTGATCCGGTGCCCGCTGTCTGTGCCAATTGACTCAGAGCCCGCTGTCGTACCTGGTGACCCGATGCCCGCTGTCGAGCCAGACGATCCAATGCCTGGTGACCCGGTGCCCACTGCCTTGCCAGATGAACGCGGTGCCCGCTGGCAAGCCAAATGACCTGATGCCTGGTGACCCAGTGCCCGCTGTCATACCTGGTGACCCGATGCCCTGCTGTCGAGCCAGACAATCCGGTACCTGATGACCCGGTGCCCACTGTCGTGCCTGTTGACTCGGAGCCCACTGCCTTGCCAGATTAACGCGTTGCCCGCTGTCGAGCCAAATGACCTGATGCCTGGTGACCCGATGCCCTGCTGTCCAGTCAGACGATCCAATGTCTGACCCATTGCCCGCGGTCATGCCAGTTGACTCGGAACCCACTGCCTTGCCAGATGACGCGGGTGCCTCGCTGTCAAGCCAAATGACTTGATGCCTGGTGACCCGATGCCCGCTGTCCAGTCAGACGATCCAATGTACTGACCCAGTGCCCGCGGTCATACCAGTTGACTCGGTGCCCACTGCCTTGCCAGATGACGCGGTGCCCGCGGTCGAGCCAAATGACCTGATGCCTGGTGACCCGATGCCCGCTGTCCGGTCAGACGATCCAATGGTCTGACCCAGTGCCCGCGGTCAACCAGTTGACTCGGGAGCCCACTGCCTTGCCAGATGACACGGTGCCGCTGTCCGAGCCAAATGACCTGATGCCTGGTGAACCCGATGCCCGCTGTCCCAGCCAGACGATCCAATGTCTGAACCTAGTGCCAGCAGTCATGCCAGTTGAACTCGGAGCCCACTGTCGTGCCTGGTGACTCGGTTGCCCGTCGCCCCTCCTGGTGGCCCGATGCCTGTCGCCACCCGCTTGGGGCACGATGCCTGTCGCCCCGCCTGGGGGCCCGATGCCTTTGTCGCCCCGCCTGGGGGCCCCGGTGCCTGTCGCCCCCGGCCTGGGGGCCCGGTGCCTGTCGCCCCGCCTGGGGCCCGGTGCCTGTCGCCCCGCCCGCCTGTGGGCCCGGTGCCTGTCGCCCCGCCTGGGGGCCCGGTGCCTGTCGCCCCGCCGGGGGCCCGGTGCCTGCTGCTCAGCCTGGGGGCCCGGTGCCTGCTGCTCCGCCCGGGGGCCCGGTGCCTGCTGCCCCGCCCGGGGGCCCGGTGCCTGCCGCCCCGCCCGGGGCCCGGTGCCTGCCGCCCCGCCCGGGGGCCCGGTGCCTGCCGCTACCGCCCGGGGGCCCGGTGCCTGCTGCTCCACCTGGTGGCCCGCTGCCTGCTGCTTCGCCTGGTAATCCGATGTGCCTCTGCCCGGAGTCCTGCCCGATGTGCCTCTGCCGGAGTCCTGCCCGATGTGCCTCTGCCCGGAGTACCCTGCCCGATGTGCCCTCTGCCTGGAGTCCTGCCCGATGTGCCTCTGCCCGATGTGCCTCTGCCCGATGTGCCTCTGCCCGGTGTGCCTCTGCCCGGTGTGCCTCTGCTCGATGTGCCTCTGCCCGGAGTCCAGCCCGGTGTGCCGCTGCCCGGAGTCCTGCCCGGTGTGCCAGTCTTTGATATCCCGCCAGTTTGCCAGACCCCCGGTGCGGTGGAATATTTTGTGCCAGCCCTAGGACTGTTTGGAGCGTCCTGAGGCCGCTCCTTGAGGGGGGGTACTGTTAGGAATGGACTGGCCAGCAATGGTGGGACTCACCTGCCTTTTGATCTGCAGTACCAGGGCTGGCCAGCGGGTGCTCCCAGCATCAGAGACTCAACCTTTCAGCCAGCTAACACCTGGAACTGATGATACTGGTGTATTTAAGGGATGGCCAGACTTGCAGACTCTGCCTTGGTGTTGTGTTTGTCCTGGGCCCTGTATCTGTCCTGCATCCTGTTTCTGTTCCTTTGCTGACTTCTCCTGCTCTGATCCTGGCTTGTGACCCTGACCATCCCTCTGTCTGACCCTCTGTACTACGCTGCTTGCTACCTGTTCTGATCCCTGGCTTGTGACCCGGACCATCCCCTCTGCCTGACCCTCTGTACTACGCTGCTTGCTACCTGCTGAACCTGGCCTGTGACCCCGACCATTCTCTGCTTGCTCCCCCTGTACCTACCTGCCCAATTGATATTGACCCGGCCTGCCTGACGACGCTTGCTTGTATGTACTGTTATCTGTGGGTGGTTGGTTGGGTTTGTTTGCACTGTATTATGTTTTGTATTGCACTGCGTTTATGTTTGTATGGTTAGTGTTAATAAATTGTATTGTTTATCACATATCTGAAGTCTGCGTTTCCCTGCATCAGTCACACACCTCTGGTCATACCTGGGAGCCCTGACAGATGGTTTGAATCTTGGCTGGTTCAGCAGGGACAGGACAATTATGGACAGGATGATTGTACCAAAGTTGATCCATCGATTGGCTTGGGTGCAAACAGCATGTTGGATTTTTTATGCGATTAATGCCCAGTGGCTATAGCTGTTAGCAATAATCATTGTGAATTCTCCCAGAAGGGAGAGCTTCCTACACCCACCCCCTGGGAGAACACAATAACTTTGCAGGAGGGATTCCCCCATCAACACTAACTGGTAAGGTCATCTTAAGAATGGCTTTATTAGACTTACAAGCACATCTTCTGCATGGCAGCCCTGTTCTTTGTTGAAAAATAAAAAAAAAGAATCCACCTTGCGTCCATGCATCAATAACAAGGACTTGAATAAAAGCAGTATTAAAGAACTGTTATCTGCCTATTCTCTGAAATGTTAGACTCCATTCTGCCAAAGTCTTAAAAAAACTAGACTTAAGACTATAACCTTGCCCACATTTGTCAAGGATGCAAATGGAAAACCATCTTTAGAACCATATATGGGCATTTGAAGTCCATGGTTATGCCTTTTGGCCTTTGCAATGTTCCCGCAACATTTCAACACTACATCAACATTTTTTTTAGATCTTTTAGACCAGTTTGTGATTGCTTATTTGGATGATATTCTCACCTTTTCTGATAACCTAGAGGAGCATCGCAAGCATGTTTGCACTGTCTTTGAAAAATTAAGGAAAAATAAACTCTATATCAAACTGAAAACATTTGAATTTGAACTAACCCAGATCCGGTTCTTGGGATATATTATTTCTCCAGAAGGAGTAAGCATGGATCCCAAGAAGTAGTGGATTGGCCTGCCCCTAGAAGCGCTAAGGAAATACATTTTGTTGGATTTGCCAACTTCTACAGAAAATTCATATGAAATGTCTAAATTATAGCATTTATTATGCAGCTGACATAGAGAGGGATGCCTTTTGTGTGGTTATTTGAGGCACAGACTGCCTTTAATAAGCTAAAGACTCTTCACTTCTGAACCAATATTGAACTACATTTTATTGTGGAAATGGATGTTTGTGCTAAGAAAGGATAGCTTCCACTGCAAAGTACAGAGTAGAAAAGATGCAGCTTCACCCTTGTGCTTATTTCTCTTGTTTAACGTCTTCATCTGAGAGAAATTATGACACTGGAAATAAAGAGTTGCTAGCAATTAAGGAAGTTTTTTCTGAGTGGAGGCATCTGCTGGAAGGAGTTATGCATCCTGCAACTGTTCTCACTGAGCATAACAATTTGGAATTCATTCATTCTGTCAAGAGACTGTCTTATAGGCAAAACACGTTGGACTTCTCCAGGTTAAATTTTATTATCTTGTATCGACCTTGGCCAAGGCATGGTAAGATATTGTCTGAACCACTCCAGAAACGCAACTCTGAATGTGTGCCTCAAAATAATTTCTTAGGGGCCACAAGTTCCAAGACATTCTTGAGTCTTCTCAAAAGGGGTTTAGGATTTTTGGTAGCTGTCAGCTTCCTCTCATGCCAGCTATTTTTTTTTATTGTTTAACCACTTTAATATTGGACATTTTCACTCCCTTCTTTCCCAGACCAATTTTCCGCTTTCAGCTCTGTCACACTTTGAATGACAATTGCACTGTCAGACAACACTGTACCCAAACTAAATTTTTAGCATTTTGTTCACACAGATAACGTTTTCTTTTGGTGGTATTTAATCACTACTGGAGTTTTTATTTATTGCTAAACAAATGAACGTCGAAATTTTAGAAAAAAAAAACCTTTCTTAGTTTCTGTTATAAAAATGTTCAAATAAGTAAACTTTCATCTTCATTGATGTGCACTGATGAGGCTGCACTGATGGGCACTAATAGACTGTTCTGATGGGCACTGATATGCTGCATTAATGGGCACTAATGAAACTGCACTGATGGGCACTGATGAGGCAGCACTGATAGGCTGCACTAATGGGCACTGATAAAGAGGTACTGATGAGGCAGCACTGAAGAGCACTGATATGCTGCACTGATGGACATGGATTGGCAGTGATGGGGCTGCGCTGATATTCTGCACTGATGGGCGCTGATATGCTGTACTGATGGGTTTGCAATGATTATCAGTGTAAATGTCCCCTGTCACAGAAAAGCCGGCTATCAGCTATGATTGGACACAGCTGATCACATGGTAAAGAGCCAATGTCATTAGCTCTTTACCCTGATCAGTGATGGTGACAGCTCACCAATAATCACCGTGCTGCGGCGCCCTCAGGGGCGCTTTTAAGCTGTGTATCTGGTAGGACATCATATGACTTCCACCTTGAGGGATGAAATGCCTGCCCCCAGCCATCAATCAGCTACTGACCGGATGGGAACCAGCTAATCAATTACTCTTATCATGCTAATGAGGATCCTGTGCTGCTCTTCTTTTGTTGTTTGAGCTTACTGGATCTCCCCAGGTCTCCTTTGCAAGCTGCAGGACCCTTTTTTTTACATGGAATTTGCTCTCACTGCATCTCGTTAATACCACTAACTGACATCTGTGGAAGCTGGGACTTGTAGTCCTCTTTACTGGTTTGTGGATTTTTTTTATTTTTTGAGTTTCTCCTTTGGGGTTGCTCCAGCCACTGCCTGTTCCCTCCAGACCATGGTGGTTAATTTCTTTAAACTCTGTGGTTTACCTAAACTGTACCTCTAGCAACGCATAGACTTCTGCTATCTCTGGGTAAATGCTGCATCTGCTCTCATCTCCACTTTAAACTGTATCTCCAGCAACACATAGACTTTCTGCAAATCTCAGAACAATTATTGTATATACAGTATATTGGTCTGTTTGTGGTGATTGATTCTCACATCCTGTTTCACTTCTTTATGACTTTGGCCTGTGTCTGTGGCTGGTCTGTCTTTGAGAAACATCCCCCCCCCTAATTCATGTGATCCTTATCAGTTCCTAATTGGGGCGGAGAAGAGTTGCTCATTTGACCATCTCCCTACAAATTTAGACCAGCTCATGGGGGGAGGTCACAGATGGGGGGCACAGTCACAAATAGGGTGCAGTTTTCTGCGTGAGTGTGTTTAATGCTGGAGTGTGAAGATGCATCTGAACACAGTAGTGTGTTTGATGCTGGAGTGTGAAGATGCAGTCGAACACAGCAGTGTGTTTAATGCTGGAGTGTGAAGATGCAGTTGAACACAGCAGTTTTACGAAAGCAGGATAACCCAAGCAGCAGGAAGATACAACAAAGAACTCTACTGCACGCTGGATAGAGACTGCAAGCACCTTGAGAAACATCTCCTACAAGTCT